TGCTGGGCTTATGTCTCACCTCTTTCCATCTCTCACAGCTTGCCCAGCACCTATCATCTCTTTTTCATGAATTCCTCTGTCTGGACTGGCTCCCTTTGCTTTTACGTGGCCTAACATGGCGGCCAACCTGGAAGCAACATGATTTTCCAGCTTCAGGCTCCACCTGCAGCTTGCCTGCAGTGATTCTGTCTAGCCTGTGGAAACACAAGGCATCAAGGGGCTGTAGGTGGGAGTCGATTCTGTCAGGAGTGGGTGAGGATAGAGAGGAATATTTTTGGCACTTGGTGTTTCTTCTACAGTGAGCCCAGTTTTTATGTATACAAGTGAGGTCAGAGCCTGTGGGGTAGTCCACCCAGAACCCCATCATTGTAAGATTGTTCATCTGTCAATCTGGTCCCTTGTTTTATTATAAGACGACTTTTGCTCACTATGTTTTTATTTTTCATACTGTTACATTTTTTTTAAAAGGCTGTTTTTATCTAAAAACTCCCCTATTTTATGCCGACATAGCTCTTAAATGCACAGCAAGTATTACCATTGCTACCAGTTTGTGGTGATATTCATAGCCTCAGAACAACTGGTATAATGCTAGTGATGACAAAGCTTCTAAGTTCTTGATCACTTCAGTAATTTTTATTTTTTATTAGTGCGGTGACTGAATTTATGGTTATCTGCAGTATATAATTATAAGCATGCATTATCAATATTATCAGCTTGATGCTTGAGCTTACTTTTCCATTAATACAAACCCTGCAGTTTTTACATTAATTACAGAGGGAATTAATGACCCCCTTAGACAAATTTTCACCTATGAGTAGAGTTTGGAACCAGTTGTGCCAGTAATGACAGTTCTCCAGACACAGGGGTGATGCCCACAGAGTGTTCTCCAGATGCAGGGGTGATGCCCTCAGCCCTGGCCTCACATCCTCTGGCTGAGTTTGGAGGCTTCTTATCACTTTCTCAGGGACTCCCTGTTTCTGGCCTGTCATACTAGATGCTATTGTTATTTTTAATAAAAATGACAGTCATATTATTGCTATTAAAATCGTCTTCCATATATAAATGGTCAACCTAAAGTGGGAGAGATTATCCTAGGCTCAGGGCAGAATCTCCTTCATTTCCTCTGCCTCTTTATTTTTTAAAAAGAATCATTTATTAATTATTATTATTATTACTTTGTAAATATTTGTTATAGGGTACACATGCTTACCAGAGAGAGAAAGAGAGAAAGAACATGAGAAAGCAAGTCACTAGGTCTGGGACTTGAACCACGGATGAATAATTTGGAGTCCAGCGCCTTAACCACCATGCCACCTGATGGCCTCTCCCTTTTTTTAAAAACTATTCCAAATATTAATAATTACTTTCATTTAGAAAATATCTACCTATATATCAGGTACTGTCTCTGAGCACTTGACACATGTTCTCTTTAATTCTTGTAGCCACCCTGCCAAGCAGGGATAATTTACAGGTTGAGAAACTGAAACTCATAGAGGTAAGGTGACTTGCCCAAAGTTGTCCATTCATCTATCCATCCATCCATTCCCTCATCCTGGGACAATTTATCGAGTGCCTACAATGGGCCAGACTCTGCTAAATGTGGTTGATCCCTGATGAATAATAAAGCAGTAAGCCCTGCTCTGATGAAGCCCACCCTCTGGTTGAGGAATAGAAGAGGAAACACAATTCCAGACAATTACCAGGGAAGTGTAGGGTGCTGTGGGAGTACCTCAAAGTATACTAAAACCCAGCTGAGGGTTTGCCAGGGAGGCTTCACCAAGCTGACATTTAAGCTGAGACTTAGAGGATGGGTAGAAGTTATCCAGAGGACAGTTGGGGCAGGGCAAAATGAAGTGGAGAGTTGCAAGGCAGAGCTGTGGGAGGGGTATCTGGCACTGCATTTGTGCAGAACTAAAGCTGTATCTGCAGTGACATAGGACTGTCAGGAGAAATGGTCTGGAATGGGGGCAAAAAAAATACTGGGAAGTGTGAATGGGGACCCTGATTAGTTAATGCTCTGAGCTGAGATGCTGCAGGACCCAGCGGCAAAATTTCCAAGCTTCCTGGGCTCCTGGAATCATTTGGGTGCCTGGTTGGCACCAGGCAGGAGATTCTAGTAGCCACAGTGCCCTCTAGTGTCTGCTAGCCCATGCTGCAGCCTCCACCTCTTTGTATGTCTCCCACCAATATGTGTGACCAGGTGCTCATGCTGTATGCTGAGGATACTGGGATGAACAAGACACCAATATATGTGACCAGGTGCCTGTGCTGGATGCTGGGGACACTAAGTTGTCCACATAGAGCTCCCAGTCAAGAAGGGGCAACAAGCATGTGAACAGACATTGTTGAGAGAAGCTAACTGAAAGAAGAGCAGGGGAGAACATAGGAAAGTGACCCATCCTGCCTAAGTGGGGTCAGAGCAAGTTCCCAGGGGGCACAGCCTCCAGATGACTTTTGAAGGTCAAAGGAGATCTAGCCAGATGGGAGGTGGCAGTTGGGACACAGAGGGACAGCACAGGTGAAGGTGAGGCATGGAGTGGCAGAGTGTGGCCAAGAATTACAAGGACTTCTGTCCAGGTGGGGTACAGGTTGAAGATGGGGTAAGGCTGAGATTAGCTGGAGGTGAGGGATGGGGCTAACTCACAGAAGGTTCTAGGATGCCTGTCACTAGGTCATAGTAGACATTTAGTGAGTAGAATCATATGAGAAGCTTTCTCATATGATTTTTTTTACCCCTTTGGGATCATAAACCTATCTAAGGATCTGATGAAAGCCAGAAATCAGTATTTTTCATGTAACTTTAGGGATACTCTCCATTCCCCCCTTTGCCTATCCACAAACCATAGGCTTCCAAATCACTCTTCATATAAATATGCAAATGTTTGTGGTAGCCTCCAAGGCTCTGCATAATCAGACCCCTTCCTCTATCTCTAATCTCACCTCTTACCCTTTAGCTTTTTCTACTCAGCTACATTGGCCTCTTGGCAGTTCCTGGGAATACTATCTTCAGGGTTTCCTCTGTCTGGAACATTCTCCCTCTGTTCTCTCCATTTTTTTTTGGCTCATTTTAATTCCATTAGTAGGTGAATGTTTGTCTCCTCTTACTTGGATATAAGCACCGTGAGAGCAGGGCATTGCCTGTCCCTACTCACTACCATACCCAGCACCTGGCACAGCGCCTGTCCTCATTATCTGTTGAATAAATAAGTAATGGACTGCCAGTGCCCTGTGGCTGGGTCAACCTTTAAGTCCTTCCCACCTTCCTCCAGCCCCTGGGAGTCATCACATGAGTCTACACAACGTGCTCAGATACGTCTGAATCAAAAAAATGGCTGCAGGTTAAGGGATAGTTCCCTAGGTTAAGGGATAGTTCCCTAGAAATCTTCCCACTCAGAACCTGTAAACAAGCTTCTTACAGGTCTCACCTACCTTCCTAGGAGAAGAGTCTGACTTTCTCATGCTCAAGCTGAGACTCTTTATCATCTCCATACTTTGTCTCACTGAATCCTAACAAGAACCTGTGAGGTAGGAATTGCTTCTCCTCTTTTATAAATGAACAATCTGAGCCTCAGAGGAGTTATTCAATCAAAAAGTATTGTAGTACAGCCAGGACTTGTACCCAGTTTTACCAGGCACCAAAATGTAAGTCCTTTGCTTCACCAGATAGGAAAAGGGGCTTGCCCAAGGTCACACAGCATCAGCCTTAGAGCCAGGACTAGAATTTCTGTCTCTCATCTCCTGCCAGGCTAAGAGGAAGGACTGAGCCAGAGATTCAGTTCTTGGGGTGATGACTGAAAAGGGATATCAAGAGAAGCTGTTGCAGGAGCTCAGAGAGTTGCTCAGGGAGAGTTAAAAAAAAATGCAGGGGCTGAGGCCAGATCCCTGAGAACCAGGGCTTTAGTAGGTGAACAGAGGGAGAAGAGGCCATAAAGGGTCCTAAATGCTAACCTTGTGGTAGTCCAGAGGGCCAGCCTCTCTTTCAGCAGCTTTGGCTTTCTTGAGAGGAACCAGCTGCCCCAGCAGGAAGGCAGGAAGGCTGGCCTGTTGCCTGTCAGCTCCTATTCCTTCTAGATCACTGGCCCCCTGGCCCCTCCCAGGGCTGCCTTCTGCTCAGAACAGCCAGGGGCCTGGGCTCTGGGGCCAGGCAAGGAAAGGAGTGCTCTGAGCTGGATCTGCAGTACACTTCAGGAGACCCACATGGTTCTAACCCTACAAATCCTCTCCTTTTCCCACATAAAAGACACATGTTTTAGCCACATAAAGGACAGAAAGATTAGGGTTGTAGGTAGGTATGGAGCCAAAATGCCTAGATTCATTCTGATGTGCCGTATGAACTTTTATCAGACTCATCTTCTCTGTAAGGCCTTGATTTCCCCTTCTGTAAAACCAGGCTGGGCAATAAGTGCCATTTGTCGATTTTTGTTTTTCTCTTCATGGAGCATATCTCATAGATGATCTAGAAAATGACACAGAAAAGAGTGGGAGCATATTTTAGTGGTAAGAATATTGACCAGGGCTGCATCTTGATATCCCCAAATGAGTGATTTGAATTTTACTAATATGGACTGCCGCAGAACTCCTTAACATAGTTTACTTAATTGTGCTGGAAATGAGGATGTCTGGGGAAAGCTTCTATTGAGAGGTTACTATGTTCATGGGGCAGTGATATGGCTGAGGCAACAGATTCTGATTTGGGGTATGGCCATACCGGGTCGTAATAGTGGGGTTTAGTCAGTTACTAGTGGTATTACTTAACCTTTTTCCATCTCAGTTTTCCCTCTAGAATAGGACTAATGACCCAAACTCGACAGGGTGTGTGGGGAGAGTCCAGTGGAAGGGCACACAGTGAGCCGGCAGGGTTTGGCTTAGAGGAGTATCTGTGAGCTCTCCAGGCCACTTCCTCTTAGGAGGAGTTCCCAGCCCTCCTGGGGGAGCTGGGAAAGGAGCAAAGTTTCCAGTTGCAGTCTGGCCTACAGCCCAGCTGGCCTGGCCCCGCCTCCTTGGTTCCTCCTTCTAGGGAAGGGCTGGGGAGGAAGGGGTGGTGACACGGTGGAGGCACCGCTGGGCCAAGGGGCTTGCCCTTGGGCAGGTCCAGATCCATGGAGCCTCCCGGGAAGAGCAGCAGGTAGGATCTTGGGCCCCGAAGCCTTGCCCCCCTTACTTCCTGCTTAATCCTGGACCCACTCCCTGTGCTGCTGATTCAGCAGCCTTCTGGCTTCCTGGTTCCTGGCTCCCCTCTTTGACTTTTGCAGGCCTTTGGTTTGGGGGAGGGAGCAGGTTCAAGTGGACAAGCTCATAGGCATCAGGGTACCCAGTTCTGTAAGAATGCTGGGGCCCTGAGCAGCACAGTCTGTGAACAGTGAGGGGTGAGCTTAAGGACTGTCCTGGTTTGCTGGCCTGGCAGGGCAGGGTAGGGCTTCAGCTGCTCTTGAAGCCACTGAGAGCTTCTGTTACCAACTCTTCAAGAGCCGGCGTGGC